TTTTTTTTGAGATGGACTCTTACTCTGTTGCCCAGGCTGGAGTACAGTGGCACAATCTTGGCTCACTGTAACTTCTGCCTCCTGGGTTCAAGCAATTCTCCTACCTCTCAGCCTCCCTAGTAGCCGGGATTACAGGCATGTGCCACCATGCCCAGCTAATTTTTGTATTTTTAGTAGAGACGGAGTTTCACTATGTTGATTCGGCTGGTCTCGAACTCCTGACCTCAGGTAATCGCCTGCTCCAGCCTCCCAAAGGGCTGGGATTACAGGCGTGAGCCACTGCCCTTGGCCCAGTTCTGGTTAATTTTCAATCTTGTAATCATATCGAACTTTCTGATGATTTGCCATGAAAATCTTGCTAGAGTATTTTTGGCTATTTAGAGAAATGGGGTGGATACAAAGTTTGGGAAATACCATGGTCATGTTACAAAGGGAATGCGTATAGGTCTTGTTCTTTTGACAAGAGACATGCTTTTCAGGCAGCTGGATGGAAAAATATGGTTATTTCCTTCAGTGCTCTTGCAGTCTTGATTTATTAAAGTTTTCATCATTGCTTCATTGGGTATGTATAGTTCTACATTGCCCGCGCTTGGCTTATTCTTCCCTTGCTTTTGTAATATAGGACTATATTTTTTGTCTTGGAAAAAATTGTTAGGTTCTAGCCATCAAACCTTTGGTGCTTTCTCCTCTTGTTCTAGAATGGAGAATGGTGTGTTGGGAAACGCCTTGGAAGGTGTGCATGTGGAAGAGGAAGAAGGAGAAAAAACAGAAGATGAATCTCTGGTAGAAAATAATGATAACATAGATGGTATGTGGAGTTGCATGTGACATTCAAGAGATGTGACACTGTATATTTCTTGTATACAAGTGGTGGAAACAGGGCTCTACCTGTCCTGGATGGTCTCTCCTAAGATGCTTGGGGTGATGCCTGCATCTGGTAGAGATTGCAGTAGGGGTAGCTGATTACTGAAACTCACAGCAGGGTTTTTTAAGAGAATAACTTAACTTCTTAAGTGAATCTGGTCATTTCAATTAGGGGTTTTTAAACCAAAAAGATAAAAAGCAAAATTAAATTGGTGTTTTAAATACTATTACAACCTTAAATATTTTTGCGATGCAGATTTTTTAAACAGCGTGTGCAGTTCAGTTATTTTAATAGCGGTACTTTTAGAGCCCTTTTACATTTTTATGTCTATGAAATTTATATAATTTCTAAGCTGAATTTGGCTACTAGAGTTTTACATACCAGATGGGGGAAAATGAAAAGCTTGGCATCTCGTACCTAACTGGTAATCGGAATGCTCAAGTAAAACAAGATCTAGTTTAACAAGCTTGGGTTTCTTTTGCAGTAAGTCGCTCTGCTAGCTGGGACGCTCCCTTTCCTTTTCTCTAGGGGGCAGATAATTTTTAGGCCATCTGCTAAAACTTTGTAGGCTTTTTGAGGGTTTAAAGGGAATGTATTTTTAGTTTCCATTTATGCCTTTATCATTAAACTCGAAGACATGTTTATGCTTCATGTTCTTTAACCATGTAGAGGAAGCAAGGGAAGAGTTGAGAGAACAGGTTTATGACGCCATGGGAGAAAAAGAAGAAGCCAAAAAAGCAGAAGACAAGTCTTTGGCAAAGCCTGAAACTGATAAAGAACAGGAGAGTGAAATGGAGAAGGGTGGAAGAGAAGATATGGAGATAAGTGAATCTGCAGAGGAGCCACAGGAAAAAGTTGACTTGACTCTAGATCGGTTAACTGAAACCTCTGAAGAGGCAAAAGGAGGAGCAGCACCAGAAGGACCGAATGATGCTGAGGTCCCTTCTGGGAAGCCAGAACAGGAAGTACCAGATGCTGAGGAAGAACAATCAGTTTCTGGAACTGATGTCCAAGAAGAGTACAGAGAAAAAGGAGGTCAGGAGAAGCAGGGAGAGGTAATTGTAAGTGTAGAGGAGAAGCCAAAAGAAGGTTCAGAAGAGCAGCCTATGGTGACTCTAGAAAAGCAGGGCGCTGCAGTGGAGGTAGAAGCAGAGCCTTTAGACCCGACAGTCAAGCCAGTGGATGTGGGTGGGGACAAGCCAGAGGAGAAGGTAGTTACCTCTGAAAATGATGCAGGAAAGGCAGTTCTTGAGCAGCTGGTAGATCAAGAAGTGCCATCTGCTGAAGAGTCGCCAGAGGTGACAACAGAGGCTGCAGAGGCCTCAGTTGTAGAGGTTGGATCAGAAGTCTCTGAAAAGTCTGGGCAGGAGGCTACAGTTGTCCCTAAAGATGGTGCAGTCAATGGACCGTCAGCTGTAGGAGATCAGACTTCTGTCGAACCACAGACTTCTATAGAAAGACTGACAGAAACAAAAGATGGCTCAGGACTAGAGGAGAAGGTCAGGGCAAAGCTGTTTCCTAGTCAGGAGGAGACTAAGCTGTCTGTAGAAGAGTCTGAGGCAGCTGGAAATGGGGTTGATACCAAGGTAGCCCAGGGAGCTACTGAGAAATCACCTGAAGACAAAGTTCAGATAGCTGCTAATGAAGAGACACAAGAGAGAGAAGAACAGATGAAAGAGGGTGAAGGTAACCGGGATATGCAAGAGCTGCAGTGGGTGGAGTACATTCTGGATTTGACTCACTAATTATGGGTAAAAGTCAGCCTTCCATTCAGGATTTTCCGTCTGCCTTTGGATTAGGAAAGGGCTAAATGAAAAAGGGGGTAGTTTAAGAAGGTTGTGACAGTCAAGTAAGTTAAATCAAAAGCAGCAAGTCTTTAGCTGGCTTATAAACTAACACTTTTACTAACTGCAAAATAGGTCTTCTGTGATTTCTGAGACTTGGCTAGCTATTAGTAACTTGCGGCAGCATACTAGCCAATAAAGTGGGATGGAAAAGGTAGATGAGGGGAGGGGTGGGCTAGGCTGGCAGAGAATGCTGAATGGATGTTCACTTGCATGCCTCTGGATTTTTAAATTTATTGTTCACATAACTCCTTTTCTGTGCATTAGGAAGCAGGAACAGAGCAGTAGAATCCACTGAATTGGTACACTGAAGCAGGCATGCCATTTTAATGAAGGGCAGTTAACCTTGAGTGTTGTATCACCAGAGTTAAAGAATTCTGTTGCCCTTCTCTACCTTTAAGTCTTCAGGAAGTGTTTAGAGGTTTATTCACATTAGTTAAAACAGGCCCTCCACCTTCCTCAAGGCAACAAAAAACATAACCATTAGCTTTCTTGCTGCTTTTCTTCCTCATTTCATGCTTGCTTTGGCTGCTAAACTCAATTTTGTGTTACTTAGAATGTTATAAACCGTGGATGGTTTCTATAGTACTATTGGTCTAATTGTGATTAAATTTCATCAAGATGTATAAGCCTCTATTCCATAATTGGCATGTCTGACTTGTGCTATCATTTGAGGATTCTACTGTATATAAGGTTCATCTAACATTGGCATTAATAACCACAGGTATATTCCAACTAATTTGTTACTTTTTGTAATTGCCAGACTATTTCAAGAATTCTCTTAAGTTTTAGATTTTAGAGACCCATCTTCAATACTTGGAGCTCATTCTGGTAAACTTCCTTCTACCTATGTGCACGTCCCTGTACTCCAGCTAGCACAGGCTCAGTAACTGGAAGTGAATTGGCTAAAATGGTAGCACCATTATGTTTGTCATTGAGCTTTACGAGTTCTTTATAGAAAAAACAAAATTCCTATGTGTCAATCTTAATGATTATAAGCAAGGATGCTAAAAAGCTCTGCTAACTGGCTCTCTTAAAGACCTTGAATGTCATAGTCCCCTACAGTTTGTTCAAAAAGTAGTTGGATCATAATTAACATTGTTAGAGTTCTCTCACATAAATTACATCTGATTCTAAAACAATACCATGTGGTAGGTAGTGTTGCTCAAGTTACAATGATGAGGTTGAGGTTTAAAGGTTACATGATTTGTTTACGGTCATAGTACTGAATCTGAACCTAGATCTGCCTTGAATATTTTATTCTTCCCAAGTTGCTTCACATTGGAGAAGGCAGTATTCATCCCTTCCCTACACCCACTTCGAAATTTTGTCATGGGCTAGCGTGGTGGCTCACAGCTGTAGTCCCAGCACTTTTGGAGGCCGAGGTGGGCGGAACACAAAGTCAGGAGTTCGAGGCCAGTATGGTGAAACCCCATCTCTACTAAAAATACAAAAGAAAATTAGCTGGGTATGGTGGCAGGCACCTGTAGCCCCAGCTACTTGGGAGGCTGAGGCAGGAGAATTGCTTGAACCCAGGAGG